CACTGCTACCCCCAGCCCCCCAGATCCCCCATGGACCCCCCTGTTGCTACCCCCAGCCCCCCCGATTTCCCCACTGCTACCCTCAGCCCCCCACGGACCCCCCTGCTCCTCCCCCAGCTCCCCACCACACACTGCCCATTCCAACTCCTCCTGCTATCCCAACCCCCCACAACTTTCCACTGCTCCCTGCTACCCCCCCTTATGCTCCCCACCCCCTCCCATTCCATTGCACCCCATGCTGGACCCAGCCCACTGCTTGGCATGGGGGGGGCTGGGCTGGATTCCCCCGGCCCCCCCTTCCACTTACCTCTCTCTCCCCCCAGATGAGGCCGGCGCCCCTCGCCCCTCGGGCTGGCAGGATTCGCTCTTCCTCTTCCTGGCCATCTTTTTCTTCTTCTGGCTCCTCAGCGTCTGACCCCAGGGGGCCCTGCCCCCCAACACGGCCCCGGGACACTGCCGGACTCGCCCTGCCCTGCCCCCCAACACGGCCCCGGACACTGCCGGACTCATGCCCTGCCCCGCCCCACATGGACGGGGAGGGGGGGTCTCCCCGCCCCCTGTGCGGCTGAGAACGGGGGACTGATGGCGGGTTTGGGGGTGATGTGGGCCCCCAAGGGGCTGGGCTGACCCCCCGCTTACACTACACAATATAAATATCCCCGGTGTGGCGGGTCCCCCAGTCTGCGGCACCCCCTGCGGGCAGGCCCAGGAACTGCAGCTGGACAGGAGCGCAGCCGGGGGGTGCCCCGGGCTAGTGGGGGGGCGGTTTGCAGGGGCTCTCTGGCTATTGATATAATGGTGGTTGAATGGAGGTGAAGAGCAGCTGGGAATGGAGGGTGGGGGGCAGGGGGGATTTGGGGTTCACAGTGTACATTCCCAGCGCTGATTAAAACACCAGTGATTCTTCAGCCCCCTGCGAAGAGTGTGGGGGAGGGAACTAAGGGGTCTGGGGGGCTCGGCCCCAGCGCCCGAGAAACCAGAACCGTGAACTGTCAGGCCTGGGCCCGAGGTAGGGAGAGGAGGGGAAAGGAAGGAAGGGGTCAGGGAAAAGTGGGGGGCCAGAGGAGGGCGGGGGGCAGGGGAAAGCAGGCAGGAAGGCGGGGGGGTCCGAGGAAAGCAGGGGGCTTGAGGAAGGCGGGGGGCTGAGAGGTTCTGTGACCGGCCCAGAGGAGCCCGAGATGGAGCGGAGCCAGGGGTCCAGCTGTGCCCATGGGGGGCCCCTGGCAGCTCCCCCGGGAATCGCAGCCCTGGCCCCGGGCCGAAAGGCCACGACCGGCTGGTGAGCCCCAGCAATGCTGGCGAAAGGGGGACGTGTCACCAGCTGGGGAGCACCACGGGGGAGGTGGAGAAAAGGGAACAGCAGGGGCTGTGGGTCGGGAGTGAGGGGCACCGGCAGAACTGGGGGGCAAGGCTGGGCTGGCAGGGGCTGCGGGTTGGGAGTGAGGGGCACTGGCAGGGCTGGGCTAGCAGGGGGCTGTGGGTCGGGAGTGAGGGGCACTGGCAGAGTGGGGGGCAGGACTGGGGCGGAGTTGTGGGGGGAGGCGTGGCTGGGCCCATTGGAGAGTCAGGCACCTGGGGGGGGGGGGGTGCAGTTCCCCTCACCCATGTCCCCCAGCCAGCTCTCCCCCAGCTATGCCGGGGCAAGCCTGAGATATGGGGGGGCAGAGCCCATCCTGCCTGCTTCTGGGGAGGGGAACAGGGCAAACAGCTGGAGACAGATGGGGGGGTTCACACTGCTCCCCCCCAAGCAGCACCTGCAGCTCCTGCCCAAGGTGGGGGGCTGGTACTGAGAGCAGATGTCCCCCCTTTGGGCAGCCTTGGTTTTGGGGTTCAGGTTGGGGGAATTGATTTGGAGAGAGAGCAAGTTTCAGGGAACACACACACCCCTGAAATCCATGGACCTGAAATAACCAGCAAGTGGAAAAAATATATTTATTATATAGGCAAAAAAGTCTGTACAACAGCAAAGGGGGGGCAGAACCCCAGGGGGGACCCCAAACCAACACAGATGGCCTGTGCTGCACCCCCTCCCCCCACTAATTCATTTGAGGCCTAGTTCCCCCTCAGAACCCTGCTCTTGAGTAAGGCTCATCCCCCAGGCCCAGCTCTCCTAGGTTGGACCCCCAGCCCCACACTGGGGTCGCAGGGTGCAGGGGAGGCCCCCCATGTTGCTCCTGGGCTCCCCCCATGCAACCGCCTGCGTGTCCCCACCCTTCCAGCCTCCCTAAAGTGGCCAAGGAGCCAGCATTGATGGAAGAGACAAAAGGGCTGCCCTCAGCCAAGCAAAACAGGTGGGGGGAGGACAGACCCCCCCCTTATTAACTGATAGAAGAGGGGGCAGGGTCCCACACACACAGCTGCGGGGGGGAGGCCCCATTTCTGAGGGAGAGAAACAGGGAAATGGCCCCATGAAGGGGAAGGGGATGGAGGTTCTGGGGTTGCTGGAGGGGGGGAAATCAGGGAAGATCCGAGGGGAAGGAGGGGGGTGATGGATCAAGGGGGGCGGGAAATCAGCGTGATGATAAATCCAAGGGGTTGGGGTGACAGGGTTCAGGGTAGGGGTGGTGATCGAAGTGATGGGGCAGCATGTGTGGGGACTGGGGTAATGGGGGTTCAGCGTGAGGGACTGGGGTGATAAGCGGATTGGGGTGATGGGAGGTTTGAGGGGGGAAGCAGCCGGGGGGGGTTACATTCCAACCAGCTCCCCCCCAAGAAAACCCAAACAAAACAAACAGCCCAAACCAAAGTGTAACTCCTGGGGAGATGCCCAGGGACCCCCCCGTGACACCCCCCACCCCAAGAGCCACGGGGGGACACCCAGAAAAACAACAAACGTTAAGAAAAATATGACAAAAAAACAGGGTTTTTTTTCCATTCTAAACATTCCCCCCCCCCCCCACTCGCTGCATTGGGGGAGACACGTCAGGTGTGACGAGCCCCCCACCCACTGAACTCCCCCCACAGCCCCCATCCAGTCCCGCCCCCTTACCCAAGCCCCCAGTAACCCCCTCCTCCACTCCAGCCCCCCTCCCTCAACTAACCCCCTCTCCAACCTCCCTCCCCCGGCAGACACACAGGCCGTAGTTGCAGACAACAAAAGAAATTAACCTTGACAGTGGCAGGGGAAGGGGGGAGACGGGGCCCAGCGCCCCCCACGTTGTGGGGGGGGCTGGGGGTCAGAGGTAGAAGGTTCCATGGTCTCTGGCTTGGAGTCCGAGTCTCCCTTGGTGTCGCGTTGAGGTAAATGAAGTAAGGGGCCCGCAGCGCCGGGTGAAACGCAGTCCCCTTCCCGCGCCGGCCTGGCCGCTCCTCGGTAATTCGGCCCGGCACTCCCGTCTGGCTTGCGCGGGCCGGCCCTGCACCCCCCGCCGGCTTTCAATGGCTGGAGCTCGACTGGTCAGTCTCCCGCCGTGTTCGCTGCTCCTCTTCTCCCGCTGGCGACCCCGCCTCCTCCTTACGCCCCTTCCCCATCACGTCTTTCCTCCCCCCGCCCCTCTCTCCACACACCCCCGTTTCCCGCGGCTGGGCGGGGTGCTGGGGCTCTGCGACCCCAAACATCCTGCCCTGGAGCCCCACGTGCTCAGCACCCCGGGGGGCACAAATGGGAGCAGGGGGCAGCCAGCCAGAGCAGGTGTCGGGGCGGGGGGGTAGCGAGAGACGGCTGGACACGGGCCGAGCGCGGGTGGAAACGGCCGTGCGAGGGAGCTGAGAAAACCGGGAGAACCCGGCCGAAATGGGAGCGAAACGGCGAGGCCGGCACACGGGGACGAGAAGGAAACACCCTGAAGAGTGAGAAAGCCGGGGGGGGGGGG